AACGCTATGTCCTACCTATATCGGAATAAGGGAACGGATTATAAAAATAAAATCCTACTTATATGTAAGCCTCTGCGGCTGAATAAGCTGAACGGCTAACTAGATTTATTATTGACGGATAGGACGGACTTTAAGTATATATTTATGGTACCGCGATCTGAGTTTGATTCTCAGAGTCGTCGGTTTGGAAGCGTATATGTAGTAGGATGCGTTGCTGGATATGATAGGTCGAGGTATACCCTGTTAGGCTTAGGTACTTATGCCCACTCAGGTGCGTTTTGCATGTTGTCTTCTATTCAGGTTAAAACCCCCTGCATAGCCCAGTAAGAGTCTTGTAGTGTGGATATATATACATATGGATTATATAGCTATTGTTGAATTAGTTAGAATGTATATACGTATCGAGTCTCTGCTTGGATTGTAATAGGATAGAACTTGTTTGTAGGCCTGACCCACTTCTATTTTTCAGGTATTCGCCAGTTCCAGACTTAGACCTGATCGTGCTGAGTAGAGACTATTACTCACTCTTCCGATGACGTAGGACTTCTCTCCATGGTTTAATTTTGGATGTTCTTTTATTTATTACATTTCAATTGGATTTTATTAGGGGTCCACTCGAGATGGATTCCCGAGTTGTTAAATTATTGGAGGTTTTGGATTTTAAGTTTTTAATTTTAAAGGATTCTATTTTAGATTTCTTCTAGCTGTTAATTATTTATTCATATTCAGTTTTGTAATCTGTGTTCATTTAAAATACTTTAATTGTTTAATATTCCCTCGGGTTCAGGCTTGGGCTGATCAACCCGTGTCTCCGATCCGAGGGGTATCACAGTTGGTATTAGAGCACTCTAGGTTCAAGTGTCTCTAGGATGGTTCGTATTAAGACTTTCGCGTAGTATTTTCTCTTGATTAGAGCTTAAGTTTAGGATTCATTGTATTCCTTTACGGTTCAGTTTAAGTTGTTATAATGTCTGTTTTTTCCGTGTTAATAGATGGTTAATGCTAAAAGAGGATAGAACATGCAAGGAAATAGGAGACAAAGGAGAGCGGCATGTACGCAACAAGATCGCCTACAGCGTCAGCTAATGGAGGAAGAACAGCATTTGCTAGAGTTTCAGGATGATGGTCAATTCTATGAAAAGCAGAAAGAAGTTTAGCAGGCTCAAGATCAAGTCAGAGATCTAGAGTATCCTCCTCATATCAATGACCTCATTGCTCGAGCTATAGAAGCAGAGGTAACAGCTGCACTTCAAAATTAGCCTCAGGTACAGCCGACACCAATACCAGCACCGATTGTTCAGACTGATACTTGGGAGAATGCTAGGAGTTCTTTCACAAAGGGGAGCCCACCTAAATTCACAGGCTCCACCGATGCGAAAGCAACTCATCAGTGGAAGAAGGATATCGAGCGACATCTTCGATGGGTTCAGTGCACGGCGGTTCAGAAATAGATACTTGCTACCTTCAAGTTGGTCGGTGATGCACTACAGTGGTGGGAGTCAGTTACCACCACAGAGGAGAGGGTGTCATTGACTTATGATCAGTTTAGTGCATACTTTGATGAAAAGTACTTCCCTTATGCAGTCAGGGCAGCTATGAAAACTGAGTTTCTTAATCTGCAGCAGGGGAACATGACAGTGGCAAAGTATGAGCAGCAGTTCACGCGCTTATCTCTTTTTACTCCAGATGAGATGGATATAGAGGAGAAGAAGCGCAATAGTTTCGTTAAGGGACTAATGTGGTCTATCAGGAGAGCTATTATAGGTAGTCCAGCCTATACTACTTACGCTCAGGTGGTAGACGCCACTCTATAACAGTATCAGTTGACCGTAAACTTCAGACAAGTCAAGGGTGAGAAGCGGGGTGACAGCGACTCTGCTAATTAGTCAGCTGAGAAAGGGAATAGCAACGGATACCGATAGAATGACAAAAGCAAATTCCAAGGATAGTAGTCTTGGAAGAAGCATAAGGGTGGTTAGGATGCTAACAAAGATGGGGTACCTATTCAGCGATAGCAGAATGGGGGACATAAGCAGAACAAGGTTAGCCACAGGCTAATCGACAGAGGAGGCCATTTGGTACTTTCCAGGGTAGCTGCTATACCTGTGGAGAGTATGGTCACACCTCCAGGTAGTGTCTTAAAGCAGGACAGAGACGGGGACAGCATGTGCAGCAGGGACAGAGGGCGCCAATACCTTTACCTGCTCCATAGGTTCCAAGGATTCAAAAACAGACATTTTCGGCATTACCGGCACCGCCGCAACATCATGGACAGGCACCGCAGCAGTTGCATTACGGCAGGGTTTTCAACCCATGCCGCAGGATATTCAGGCACCTCAGGCTGTTGAGGGTATGTTTCTTATCCATAGTTCAAAAGGTTGTGTTTTATTTGATATGGGTGCTACACACTCATTTATAGCTAGATCTTTTGTTGCTTTATCTAGAATGACAACACGGGTATGCAGTAGACCTCAGGGTATTTCTATACCGTTAGGTAATACAGCTATTCTACATGAGAGTGATGGGTCTGTGACACTAGATATTGGTAGACTCAGATTTCTAGCCAATCTTTTGGTCCTGGACATGCATACTTATGATGTGATACTTGGGATAGATTGGTTATCGTATTACCATGCCCAATTTGATTGTTATGATAGGTCTGTTGTTTTTACCATACCTGATCATGATATGTACTTCATCGCTATGCCACGTCCTAACAGGGGCACTAGCACTTATTTGTTCCATATGGAGGAGGAAATGGAGGAAGGGACCACTGTATCATTGGATAGCATACCAATTGAACATGAATTTTTGGATGTATTTCAGGAGATTCTAAGGTTGCCGCCTAGTCGCGAGATAGATTTTGTAATTAACTTAGCTCTAGGAACTACGCCTATTGCTAAGGCACCGTATAGGATAGCACTAGTGGAGATGCGAGAGCTGAGGGATCAGATTCAATAATTACTCAGCCAGGGATTTATTCGTAAGAGTACTTCACCTTGGGGAGCACCGGTTCTGTTTGTGAAGAAGAAGGATGGTTCACTTCGCCTATGTATAGATCACAGGGAGTTAAACAAGGTTACTATTCGTAACAAGTACCATTTGCCCAGGATTGATGATCTTTTTTATCAATTGAAGGGAGCTACATACTTCTCTAAGATTGATCTGTGGTCTGGATATCATCAACTTCGGGTTATGAAGCAGGATGTTCCAAGAACAGTGTTTCTCACTAGATATGGATCTTATGAGTTTCATGTCATGCCTTTCAGATTAACTAACGCAACAGCAGTTTTCATGGGTTTGATGAATAGAGTTTCAAGACTTATTTAGATCAGTTTGTCATTGTCTTCATTGATAACATCTTGATTTATTCTAAATCAGAGGACGATCATGCTAGACATCTATGTATAATGTTACAGACGCTTCGTGAACACCAGTTTTATGCCAAGTTTGAGAAGTGTGAATTTTGGCAGCGGGAAGTGAAATTTCTGGGTCACGTAGTGTCAGAAAGGGGGATAGCGGTAGATCCAGCCAAGATTTCAGTAGTGGTTGAGTGGGGACAGCCTACTTCACCTACCGAGATTTGGAGTTTCCTCGGATTGGTAGGATATTATCATAGGTTCATCTAGGGGTTCTCCAAGATAGCAAGACCACTCACTCATCTAACCAAAAAGGGTGTACGGTCTGTGTGCTGAAGACTAAGTTGACCTTTGCACCAGTTTTGTCTACCCCACAGAGTAGGATAAAGTATATTGTCTACACAGATGCTTCTTTGCAGGGTCTTAGATGTGTTTTGATACAGGAGGAGCGACCGATTTCATATGGATCTCGTAAGCTTAAGCCTCACGAGCTCAATTATCCAACACATGATTTGGAGTTGGCAGCTGTGGTCTTTGCCTTACGTATTTAGAGGCATTATCTATTGGGTGAGTCCTTCAGATTATTTAGCGATCACAAGAGCCTACGGTATTTGTTTACTTAGCGGGAACTAAATATGAGACAGCGTCGATGGTTAGAGTTTGTGAAAGACTATCACTTCTCTATACAGTACCATCCAGGGAAAGCGAATGTGGTGACGGATACACTCAGTTGCCGACCCGTTGCTAGTCTTTGTAACGACCCGGGTTTATATTCAACCCGGTGGGTTAGTGATGTACCGAGGATTGACATGATAACGGATCCAGACGCAGAAGCAAGAAACAAGACAATGGTCTCCCAAGGCATAACACACCTCTAAGACCCTAAGATGTCCTTCCATGAGGTCACGAAATTCAAGGGAACAAGGCGCAGAAGCGAATGATAAACCTAGGTCTCTAGAGATACAAACCATCCCTAGGACACCAAGGTGACTTCCCATGAAGTCATGAAACTCAAGGAAATCACCGGAAGTGGAGACTAGGATAAAAAGGTTAAATGGTATCCTGTGGCACCAACGACAACAGGAGGATCGAGATGTAGTTCAAACTAGACCACGTACACCATTAAATGGCTTAAACAAGATCAACAAGGTCAAGTGGGAACGAATGAAACAAGGGTAACCTGTCTAGGCAATTCAACAAGTACTTACATAGAATGTGCTTTCTATATTTAACCCACCAGATTTGATAACAAGCTTCGTCCTCATTCACTAGCCAATTTACATCCCCTCTCACATGAATACATGATAATTACATCTTGTTAACCAGTCAATTATCCTTCATTAGGTCTAATAAGCATTGTTAATCGAAGACACTAGTTTCCCGTAATTTACATGTTACTTTAATCTCTTAAAACAAATTTAAATTCATTAAATTATTCTAACAAATTCAAACCAACTAACTTACAATTATATACCATATACCTACTTAAAGTAGGGCTATGACTCATATATAACAGAAAATTTCCAAAATCAACTATTTTAAAATCAGTTTTAAACTTTTGGGGTATTACACATCAGATTTACCAGCAAACAATCAATCCAAAGTTGAAGTCTATCAAATTCGACAAATTATCATTAAATCAAATCAAAGAAAATTAAATTAAATTGCTATCCAGTTGGCAGTTACTGAATTATTAATTTTACCTTCATCGATTATAGTAACCTTTTTTGGTCTACACGTCAAGACACGTATATTAGTCTCTTTAATTCCAGAATACACCTTTGCTTCAAACATTTCAACAGGAGCATCATCCTTATCCTTATCCCTAGCCTCAAAGGTAATATAAAACATGGCACCAGCAACAGCCTGTGAGTTTGCCTTCACAACCTTCACAAACTCGTAATTTGTATACTACAAGACAATTTATAATATGAAAGGGGTTAAAAAAAATTGAAGATTTACACAAAAGGAAAAATAGATTGGAAAAATAAAACTACAGACATTATTCATGTTGTAATGATCAACTGCTAACTTCGAACAGCAGTTAAGCTCTTTGAGTGATTCATGATGCTCGAACTCTTCGTCAGGCTTGAGATATGGTATAATGGTACCCAACGCAAAGACGTTGGGAAATTCAGGAACGTCAAACCCCTGTAATGTGCATAAAAATTAGTCATCTAAATACACAAACATATATATGCGTGTCTGTGAACTATTGAGGGCATTAGCTTGATGTTCCAGTATAATAGGTTGTAGACACTTGAGGTATAAGCATAGGTTGTAGACACTTGAGGTATAATCACAGTTCAGAGAAAACAAAAACAAATAAGGGTAAATGGAAATAAATTATTGACATTATTCAGATAGATCTATATAATATATCTCCACTGTTTCATCTCCTCAAATCAACTAATGATCAAAACCTCATCATAATCATACACATCTAATTTACTAATAAAATTAAACTAGCAATTAGCAAACACAACAATAATTCCAAATTTGAAGTCTATGAAATTCCACAAATTGGGATTATTAAATCAAATGAAAGAAAATTAAAACAAAATGTTATTGAGAGCATTAGGTTGAAATATAGATGGAAGAGACACTTGCATCGCTGGCTCCAACACGAGTATAGTACTCGAAGGACTCTTTCTTGGTCATCTCGTGAAGGCCATCGTTAAACCCATCATCAAAAAAACCCTCTCCTTCTCCTTCGCTGTCACTATTGGGATCAGAGACAACGTCGTTTGAGAAGTACCTGAATTTCTAGTTTTCCTCTTCATCCTCATAATACGATTTATGGCCATGAGGTTTTGCTTTCTTCGGGAATGGATCAGATTCTTCAAAAGAGTTTGAACCACTGCTAGAGCCAGATGAATCCATGTTCGCAGCACCGATTTTGGGGGAAAACAGCGAAAGCCCCCACCCCCACCGCTACCAAAAGGAAAAACAAACTCACTAAGGTTGCGTCTGAATAAATAGGAGAGAAAAGAAAAGGAAGTATATTATTAATTAGAAGAGAAGAGAAAAGAAAAGAAAAGAAATGATAGTAATAATTTTTATTTATGTTTGGATAGATAAAAAAAAAAAAAAAAAAAAAAGTATAGTATTCTTGTTTGGATATGATAGGGAGTAAAAAAAAAAAGAGAAATGATAACAATAAAATTACTATTATATCCTTTAAAATAGATTGGATATGAATTATTAAAATACTACTTAAACACTATCATTTCTCTCCATATCTTCTCATTTTTGAAGAGATAGAAAAGGAGAGATAGGGAGCTATCCCTCTCTATCTTTTCTTTTCTCTTATTTTAACTTACCCAAACACAATTTACACTATTCTTTCTTTTCTTTTCTCTCACTATCCCTCCAAATCTCTCAATCCAAACATACCCTATGAGATGCGCGTAAATTGATTCAAGGCAAAGTTAAACCAAAACAAAACAAAAGATTTAAGGCTCTGTTTGGAAAGACCTAGTACATTGGAAAAGAAATGGGAAACCAATAAGAAGGAAAAGCAAACATAATAATAGTATTAAGGGCAAAGTACAAAACCTCTCTGGACTTGTAACATTTTTCAGTGAACTCTTATCTATTTTTTACTAAAGAACCTCTCTGGACTTATAACCTTTTTTTTCCAATAAGTTCACCCTGTCTAATTTTTTACCAAATAACACATTCAACTATATAAAAAGGTAAAAGAGTGTATATTTGGACCAAAATACCTTTTTATTTAAATCTTAATTCTCCCGAATTTCAAAAATTCATATCTCATAAACCATATAGTTAAAAATTGTAAATAATATGTAATAACCCGGTCATTTTCCTTCCTTTCATTTTTCTCATTTTTACCAATTTTCTTTTTCCGTTGATATTTTCTTTCGCGTAACCTCACTTTTCGTGTTCGGAGTTGATTTTTGACTTCACGTGCTTTCTTTCAATTTGGTTTCCTCAAAATGCATAACTTCACATTTGGAGAAAAGCTCGCTAGTTGTTTCTTTTTTCCGCAAGGGTGTAGATGAAGAGATTCTTCAGAAATATTTTCGTTTCTTAGAGTATTTTTCATAAATATCTTTTGGAGATATTTTGATTTAGGAGTTTTTAAGAAAGTATCTTTTGTAAGATATTTTCATTTAGGTCATTTGCGTAGTTATCCTTTTGTGTAGGGGCCTTTGTGCAATTAACGAAAGTTAATTGCAAAGTGTCTCCTTAGGGCTTGAATTCTCGTACGGGATTCATTTTCACATTTCGTCGAGTCGTGTACTCTTAAAATTGTCTTTCGGTAATTTTTTCCAGTTTTTGGATTTTTGACCCCGGTTACCGCCGAACTTGCTCGAGCATTTCATTCCGCACAGAACTCAGTTTTCGACACCGTTTCTTTCGTTGTTCATTTTTTCTCATTTTAGTTCTTTTTCGTTCACAGTGTTTTTCCGTTTGAGCGCGTCTGCACAGATTTCACTTTTCGGGGCCGGGCGAGACCCGTTCGGGACACTTTTAAGGTTTTTCTATAAATAGGGGGAAAGAGACAAAATTTTAAAAGCTCTCTTGTCTCTCCTATGGTTGGCCACCATTCTGCCACCTTCTTCCTCTCTTTTAAGCCTTCTCCTCTTGGATTTTTCCTTCGACAATGAAGGTATAAGTGTTGACCTTGACGAGGCCTTTGATTCCAACCGATTGGAATCCCATTTTGGACATTTTTCGAGTTCGGGATTTGGCTCGGGTTTGGATTTCAGTGTTATCGCAAGAGGGTTTCTTGTTCCCTTTGTTGTCCCTGACAAAACCCCAAAGTGGCGTCGCATTTGGAAAAGTTTCATTTTGGTGGTTTTTGAGATTTCATCTCAAATTGAGGTAGGGGGTTGTTGTATGTTTATTTACTAAGTGTTCTGGTGTTTTTGGAGCTTAATATATATTGTTAACATACTTGATAAGCCAGTCTTGTATATAGATGGATAATCTTTGAAATGACTTAGGGTTTAGTGATCTAAAAGCATGTTTGGTGCATATATATGTGTAGCTTGCCAAATTGGAATTTATATATATATATATAATGTGTAGAGATAACATAATAATTGGTGGTTTGTGGAATTATAGCTTATATGTATTATATAGCTTGTATGATAATTCAAAGCCTTGGAAGTATGGATATCTTCCCGTAAGTAAATTGTTTTATTTACTAGATTACTTGACTTTAGAGACTTTTCATATTTGGATGATATTCTCTTGTAAAGTAATACATTTAATTACCTTGTGAGCATACTACTAACTTGTTGTAGAATTAGTACTTGTGGCCTCCTAAAATGGTAATTTTACTTAACATGATATATGATATCATTGTCTTATATAGCTTATTTAAATATATCTTGTATATGTATATTACTTATTTAAAATATTACAATTGATTACCTTGAAAGCTTGTTACAAAAATGTAACTTATTTAGTACTTGTGGCTTAGGATGGTAATTTGGCTCAATTGTTGTAAAATATTCTTATTTTGTGTATAAATTGCATATTGAAGACTTGACATGTCGTATGCCATTTGGACTTGAATTCTAGGACATGGTTTGTGTGGATTCAACCTTACTTGTGCATGGAATGTGGCTAATCGCATTATTTATTTTATAAAGTTTTGAACTTGTTGATTTTGGGAAGCTTGTGAGGACAATATATATATGTGTGTGTGTGTGTGTGTGTGTGTGATGGCTAGGGTTCGGCTCTAATACGGAGACAAGAGTCTTCCTAAGTCATATAATGCGTAATAGGTAGTACCTTGTGGGTCGTAATTACCCAGAATAACTTATACACGTGCACACTAGGTAGTACATTGTGAGTCGTAATTACCCAGAATAAATTGATTTGTCAGTGACCATGTGTCTTAGTCTTTCCACTAATTGATTTCGCATTTAATTCGAAGTAGTTAATTATGGATTACTTGTAGCTTATAAATTGGCGATTGCCTTGGATATTTAAATTTTATTTAGTATACTTGAACTTGTATACTTGCTTATGTATTTAAATCTCATTTAGTATACTTGAACTCGTATACTTGTTTCATTTATGTAATGACCCGGTCATTTCCTTCCTTTCCTTTTTCCTTAGATTTTTACGGATGAATTTTTTTTCATTGAAACCTCTTTTCTGAGTTCGGTTTCTTGTCATTTAGTGTCATCTTGAGTGCTCAAAAATGGTTTCTGAGACTCTTTCCTTTAGATTGAGAACTTCCTTTAAGGACCGAGTCATTTCCACATTTTTCGTTTTTCAACACTATTCACTTTTGTCTTTTTCTCGTTTATCACTTTATTTGCACAATCTTACTTTTTGTGTTCGGATTTGATTCCAGTTTTTGCATGCATTCACGATATTTAAATTCCATGCCATGTGTATTTTTACTTTTTTAGAAAAGCATGTTAAGTGTTTACTTTTCTTGTAAAGGATATGGATGCATAACTTTTTTGTAATATTCTTAACTTGTAGGGGTTTTGTGTAATTAAATAAAGTAATTATTTTTGGTCTTAGGGACCATTTTGTAATTTAATTTGGAAAAGGACCTTTTTGTAATTTTTGAAAAGTGTGGCAAGTGTCACACTCCTATGAAACCACTTGTTGACATTTTGGTGGAACCACTTGGAAGCTTAATCTCTTGACACATGGACGGTCGAGATTCACCCATTTGTTGGCCTAGGATTGGACCACTTGTTGGCTTGGATGAGTGACAAGTGTACGCTCCAAATTAAGTCTTGTAATTATTTTTGGGCCACTTTGGGATTATGGTTTTAAAGGAGGGTTTTTGTGCAATTGACCATAGATGTATGTGTTAACCATGGTGTAGGATCACATAAGGAGTGGAGGATTTCTATTTCCTCCACTCACACTTCTTCACCTTGGTTCATTATCTTCCTCACCACAAAACCTAGCCACCATTGAAGCAAAGCTTGGCCTAGAGCTTTAAGCTTCATTTTGAGGCCTTTCCACTCACCTTAGACCATAAAGCTTAGAATACTTTTTGTTCCCCTCATCCTCCTTTATATAACCCTTGAAGGGTTTTCCATTTTGTGTTGATTTGCCTTGGATTCAAGAGAAACAATCCTCTTGTGAGGTAGGGGCTGTTATAATTCATTTTCAAATTGTTTTACTTGCTTTTGTATGAAATATAAGTTGTATGCATATCTTTTGTTAATTTGATAAATTAATGATGAATCAAAGCTTGCATATAACTCACTTTAGACTTGATATATGGCATGGCCATGACTTGATCTTTGTTGTATATTAATTTGGGGTAATTTAAATGAGTTTTCAAATCTAGAGATTTAATGAAATTAAATTGATTTAAATTCTATTAAATTGTACCTTACTTGTATTCCATTTTTGAATTGATATATGGCATGGCCATGACTTAGTCCTTGTTATATATTTATTTGGGACCATTTGAACAACTTTTGAAAAATTAGAGATTTAATTAATTTAAATTAATTAAAATCTACATAATGTTATCTTGCTTATTTTACACTTTTGATTTGATATATGGAATGAGCATGCTATGTTGTTTAACATATATTAATTTGAGGTTATTTGGAATAGATTTGAAATCTAGAAACTTTCCATGATTAGGTTGAAAATCTCTTAAAGTGTAGTATTTTAATTACCTTGTGTGCATGCTACTAACTTGATGTAAAATTAGTACTTGTGGCTCCTTAAAATGGTAATTGGACTTAGCATGATATAGAATATCATTGACTTGAATAACTTATTTAAACATATCTTGTGTAGGTATATAACTTGTTAGAATATTATAATTGTTTACCTTGGATGCTAATTACTAAATTGAAGCTTATTTAGTACTTGTGGCTTAGGATGGTAATGTGGCTCAATTGTTGTAAAATATTCTTATTTTCTGTATAAATTGCATATTGAGGACATGACTTGTCATATGCTATTTAGACTTGAATTCTAGGACATGA